TCCCTATTTCTACTGAGTGAGTGAATAAGATTTTTTTAACTGAGGAACTGACCTATTTTTTTAATCCAAAGTGCTTAAGTTCAGCACCAGAATGGTAAATTTGCAAAGTAATAATAGAAGAATCTCCAGTGTACCATGTGATGTTTTGTGCTGGTCTGTGTGGCTGAAGCCAGCACATGCTAAGCCAGTCTTAGACTCTGTCTTTAGATTTACTTTTCTTTTTTTAGACCACATAACTGTCTCCTCAGGATATGTGCTTCATCTGGTTATGAGAGGCCTTTTAAAGGAAATGTGTAAAGGTTTCATTGAAAAATTCTTTCAAAGAAGGCCTTCCAATAATGAATTGTAGCTACATTTTATGCTACAATGCTTTTCTGTGGAAAGTCTGTAAAACTAGCATTTTTACCTCATTTTCTAATGAAATAGGCAAGTCTGATATGCAAATTAAATTTATGGATGTTGTTCTATTTTGGAACATGTTAATCAGTCCAACAATACAGAGAGTTTATCAAGTAGAAAAAAAGGTTTCCTGTTTTTGTATTTATAACTTTTGGGGTATTCTGCGTGTGTATTTCTCAGAATAAGTGTGTTTCTGTTATTCGTTGTAAACTGGAAGCTATGTACTAATCTCAGATCTTATATTCTTGTTTCTATTCTAAAGGTAACCAAATTATTCACCAGTAGTAGATCAGGATGCATTTCATGTTTAAATACATTGCTATGTTCCTTTGCTTTGACTTTTAAATCCTGAAAGGTTGTAAAAAATATTGGTACACCCGAGGCACAGCAGTGCCTGGAAAGAAACATTATTAAATGGAGAAAATAGTAAGGTAAGGGATTGCTCATTAAGGAGATGCTTAGTACTTTCTAGAAACTACAGAAAAAGCTCCATCTACTTTCTCTCATCTCGTGTAAAAATTGAGATAGATGGACTTTCTATTCAGAAACTTTGTTTTCTGTGGTACGTGTCTGAATATAAGTTCACAAATGGTGGTGGTTGTAGAAGAGTCTGTGCTGCTGGAAATAGATGTGTCAAGTGGGGCAGGCCCTTGTGTGGGGATATGCCTGTGCACATTGCAGAGGGGTGCGCTCTTGGATTAGCCAGTACCTTGGAAGAAGTTAAGGTCTTCACATACATTTTTTGCGTGCTTGTAACCTAAGTTTTTGATTGAACTCGTCATTTTAACTGTAAAACTCTCACTTTCTGGACTCCTTAAGGTATTAGTTCTCACTGAAGTTCCTTTGTAAATAGGAACAAAGGTAGTTTTAAAAAACAGTGCTCAAATTAATACAAGAAAAGATGCCATAATACCAGAATTAGGTCTTAGAGATGTGACTGTTGACACGTTACAGAAGGGCCAAGACCAAAAAAACTGAGGATTTCCTTTCTTGTCATCTGGTTCTTTTTTTCTTGGAGACAAAATAAATATAATGCTATTATTACTTGTGCTAGAATTATTTTTAATTTTCTGGACAGCTGAACATTGCATGTAAAAGCAGATAATACTGCATGTTAGTCTTTTTCAGTATTTTTTGAGCAGAACTTGATTTTTAGTTGTACATAACTTTGCTGAAATAGAAAATTTCATTGCAGGTTATGTATTAGTCAACTTCAGCCTTTATATGGAAGATTTTAGCAAGTGTATATATTTTTTTTTATAAGGAGTGATACTTCACAATATGTTTCCACTCTACTAGAGAAAAACTCTAGCTGTTTTCTCTTAGACAAAAATTTTGTGTCCCTTTCAGATGGGATCTGAGGAAGGTGATCTTCAGTCAATATGCCTTCAATTATTTATGTATAAATTTAGTTTTATTTTGGCAAAAAGTTATTAGCCTTTGAATTAAGTTTAAAAATCCATATTGAGGCTAGATAGACTTCTGCAGTTAAAAGTAATGGAGATTAATGTATTTTACCACAAGCTGGAATGAGCAGAGCTTTGTTTCCAGTTTCCATAAACAGATGCTTCAGACCAGGACTAGGGCAAGAAATTGGACACATGAAAGTGTTTTCAGTCCCGGTATGATTTTTGTAATCAGTATAGGGGATTTGGGAACTTCTCCATTTTGTTTGCACCCAACAGACAAAGTGTAAAAAGTGGATGAAAATAATGTGTGATGGAATTCAGGAGTCAGAGTTGGGGCTTGGTGAGAAAAGACCTTTTCCCATGGCAGCACAGGGTGTGAGACTGAGAACTCTGGTGCTTAAGTCTTAGTTGGTAGTCAGTAAAGTGATTTGGGGCAGGATGGGGTGAAGGAGATACATGCAACATGAAACAAAGGTTGTCCCATATTTGCTGCAAATATTAGGATATTTTAATTACTGAAGGATTTGTCTCATTTGTTTGTCTTAATGTATTTTTCCTTGTCTCTGAGTGAATTGTGATAGTGTACTGATAGAAGCCTATGTCTATAGGATCTCATTTCCTTCCTTCCAACCAGAATTTAGGATGACATGTACTGATGAAAGCTGGGGAAGTGACCTGTAGTTGTGTTCTGGCCATGTTTGTTCTGCAGTTCCTGTACAGTACAATCAAATCACTTAAATGGAGTTTTTACAGGCAATCAAACTGGTGGTTTGTTTGTTTGTTGATTTGGTTTGGGTATTTCTTGGTTTTTTGTTGGTTTGGTTTGGTTTTTTTAATGACCGTCTGCTAAATCTGGTTAGCAGCTACAAGCGTAGCCTATGGAAGCAATGTTTTGAATATACAAGGAGGTAAAAAATGAAGGGAAACTCTACAAAGCCAAATTTTAACTTTGCTTAAAACCCCTGTATTTTTAATTCCTAATCTCCTGGCCTGGGCATTTTATTGCATAGATTAAAAAAAAAAAAAAGTACTGTGTCTCTGGGATGCTGTAAAATTAAATGGATGCAATTAAATATTTTATAAAGTTTACATAAAAAAGTACCATTTAAAAATGGAATCATACTTCCCTTCAGGGAGTTAGACTGATGAGCAATGGGATAAGATGTGTAGAGCCACAAAGAACAGGAAAAAAAAAAAAGGAACATAGGATGATGGCTGATCTTTGTCAGCAGTATTAACTTGCATGATGCTAGTGGAAACACTCGTGCTAAAGTACAGTAAAATCTACTCTCACCAAAAAGCTGGATTAAGGTTGAATGAAAAATTTTGCTTTAATAGGTTGAGATTTAGGGTATTCCCTTTTCAAAACTAAAGGTAATTTTCCTGTTTACATTTAAAGTAAATAACATAGTATTTAAAATATAATTTTCCCTAAGTAAGTTTATTTATGTTATTAATATTGGGAAATAAAAGACGAGGACACTTAATAAAATGTGCGAAGCTTTTTACCTGTCTAAATCTTACCTTACTGCAGTGACTGCAAGTTTTTCTGTATTCTAGAAAGGCTACCTTCCAAAACACTTTTAGAAGCTTTGAAGAAAAAAATGTCAACCTGAAGTACTGAATGCTACTGAAATAGATGTAGGAAAAGATTGTACACAAAAAAATAATGCAAAGCTGAATCAAAAATGTTTGAAACGAAGCACTGCCTTACAAAGCTGCCTTCCATTATGCTCCTAACTGTGGTTTTTACCATATTTTAATGGAACACTCATGATAAAGGAATGATGAACAAACAGAGGAAAATTAAGTGTCTAGTAATTCTTAATATTCTGTGAAAACTTGTCATGTCTGCTAACAAAACTAGTGGTTTTTTCCCTGTGAAGAGCCACATTAAATTTGAATTTATTCAGTGTATAGAACAGAACCCAGAGATGGTAGCAGCTTATTGCAGCCTTACTGCATATGTAGTGATTGCAGAACTCAGTTTAGGACTTTATCATCAAGACTGGTTTAGTTTTGGCCTTCAGTGCAATTCATCAGTTATTCTGGAAACCTACAAGACATTTGGCTGCATCCAGTATCTGGTTCTATGTCATTGCATCAGAGCCTAATGCATAAATTTACAAAGCTTAGAGGAGAATAGAATGAAGACGGTAGTAGGATCCTAGATTATCTTTAGTCTTGTAATTCAAGAAGTAGCCCTTCACAGTCTTCTGTAGCACACACAAAATAATGCCATGAGAGTGGGGAGAACATACATGGGTTTACAGTAAAGGGAATGTGTCTGTGTTGAGGGAATATGAATATTTTAGAGAATGGATCTTCTATTAAGCAGTAGAATTGTTTCCTTAAGCTACTACACTTCCTTAGGTATTTTTCTGTCCACAAAACTGTTTAGAGAAGTAATGACATTTCAGAATTTCTCAGATCAAGAATTAATTGTTCTTCTCAGTCGTGGAGCTAGGTATACAATAAGCTTGGTTGTATTCTCCGCATACCCAAATTATACTCCTTTAAAAATTCAATTTAAAAAAAGTAGGAAAATTTCCTCAGAGAAAAAGAATGTTTGGTTTGATATGCCTTGGTTTTGTATGGTTTAGTATAAACCTGACACTAGCTCCGTTGTGTCTTACCTATTATAATGCAATATCAAAAAGGAGGAAAGTAACCCACAAATGCCAGGCCTGAAATGTCATCATAGAAATCATAGAATGGCCTAGGCTGGAAGGGACCTTAGAGATCATCTAGTCCAACCTCCCTGTCATGGCAGGGATACCTTTCAACTGGATCAGGCAACACATGGGGACCATTGCACTTGTCCTATGAAACATGACTAGCTAGCCCAGTGAAACCATCAGCTGAGGGAGCAGGCACGTGGAGTGGCAGCAAGCATTCTCAAATTAGTTGTGCAGCAGGCTGAGCTAGGACTTTGAAAGCTGTTGCAGGTGGTGGAGTTGCAACAACGGGTGAAAAGTCTCAAAGTGAGCTCATGTAGACTTTGCTTAAGAATCATTAACTAAATCCCTGTTTCTTTTCGTGGGAGTTTCAGCTGTAAGTCATGTGACTTGATGTAGAACAAGATCATTACCTATCAGTGCAAACATATGGCAAAGTCTGCCCGTGTTATTACTTATCTCCAAGAGCGCAAGGGGGCTGTGACGTTTCAAGCAAAGCCCATTGGTGAGGGAGTTTCTGTGTGAGCTTTCTTAAAGAACCGCTTCCTTTTTAATCATAACACTGCGTGGGAAAGTGTCGCAAACATTCTTCTCTGAGAGACCAGAAGATTTACATAGTTTGCTTCTGTGGAAAGAGAAGAAATGCTGATAAAACATTCTATTATGGCTGTAAGCTTTGTGTTTACCTGTACTGTGTAAAGTTAGTTTCCTGCTTTCTGAGATGCATTTCTCAGAAAAGGATGGTTTCGAAGATGACTTCAGTAGAAGTGTTGTTGCTGCCCATGAAAGGGTTCCTTCTGGAATCTTGGTGAGTTTGACAGATTTATTGCCAGGTATGGGTATATAATATCCTACAGCATAGTTAAAATATATGAAAATTGTCTGTCTGAATTTAATAGTATATGGAAAATTTTAATTAGGCATTCAACAGACTTACTTTGTTTTTTGTTCCTTAAATGCTCTGTGCAGTACTAGGAGCAATCCTAAACCCCAATTAAAGTCCTTGCTTAGGAGCAAAGACACTTTTGCTTGCTTGCTTTTGGCGGGTAGACCTGATGCTACAGTGGTCCTGTTTCACATAGTAATTTTTTCCCCCTAATCTTTTCAGGGTACAAAGTAGAAACTAGTAAAACACTTGGTAAGGATTTTCTCTGTTTAAGAAAAGAAAAGTTCCTGCCTCCTAAATATATGTACAGGCAAATGTAGACAAGATGAGATATTTTGAGGAAAACCATTGCTATGCCTGTTTTTTGTTTTTCTACCTAGTCTCTTGAAATAAATGCAGTTTCTTTACTGTTTACGTAATGTAGCATTAGAATATCTTTTAATCCTCTAAATATGTCTCAAAATAAATGGGATGTATAAATATCTAGACTTTTGTAAACTAAGTTCTACAATTAAGTAACTTTTTGGCAGTGATAGTTAAAATTCATGCCCTTTAAAGCTGTATCTCTCTAGAGCAATTCAATAGCTTGCCTTTGAGTAATTTGCACTCCTTTTTCTGATGTTGAACTGAGAATTTGTAGTATTGGTGTTCATGTAGGTGCACCTGTATAAAAAGTGTAGGCTTTAAGAACACAAAAACCGCCATTTACCTTTACTAAAGGAGTGCTCTATATGCACAAATTTCTGGACAGCCTTTTGATTATGTCTTGCATCTGTGTATGGATTTTACTGAATAACACCAAAAAAAGTGTTCAAGAAACATGTTGGTTTTGTAACAGCCAAAATAACATCTCTATTAATGGTACACAGATGTAATTCCTATCCACAAAACCCTCCTGCACAAGTTAGGCTAATGTAAGCATTTCCTGGTGATGAGTTTTGAAAAATTGGCTAGTTGTCATATAGAGCATGTTGGATACATAGAATCATAGAATGGCCTAGGCTGGAAGGGACCTTAGAGATCATTTCAGCCAACCTCCCTGTCACTGACAGGGATGCCTCTCAACTAGATCAGGCAACACATGGGGACCGAGCGGGGATTGAACACGCGACCTTGGTGTTATCAGCACCACGCTCAACCGACTGAGCTAACCAGCCCCCCATCATCTGAGCTGTAGTATTGTTTAATTATTATTTCTGAGAGCCGTTCGGTTCCTCATTGCTATAACATGAGGAAGTCAGCCAACATATGCAGGGTTAATTTAAGTTTGACTGATTTGAGTATTGTATAGATGGAGGCACAAAATTTTATTTTTAGTTCTTGAACTTTCAAAGTAGATATTTTATTTTCTTATTTTACATTTACTTCTATGTACTCTTTCTCAAAAAAAAAAGAAAAAACATTTTCAGTTTCTGCCTTTTGCAGTGTAATGGCTTCTTGCCAGAAAAAAAATCTTTTTGTTAATGACAGAGATCTTTTCCCCCGTTTCAGTGACAGTTGCACTTACCTTAGTTGCATTTATGTATTCAGCTATAAGAATTTTTGCAACCTAGGTAGAATTGCTTAAACATTCAGAAATCAGCCTCTCGAAAGTCACAATAATGTTTTTCTGCTTTGAAACCTTAGGTGTTGATAACCTTTTAATTTGCTATCCTAGAAGAGTAAATACTGGAGAGTTACATTGGCTTTAGCTTTTATGCTGAGTTCTGGAATTTCGCTGCATCAAGTAGTCTGTGTACTCTGGAATAAAACTTAAAAGCTAAACAGTTACGCGAAATATTGTTTGGTTGCCCTTATTAGCTTGTCTTGTCTGGTGGACCTCTGTCTGGAATTCCAGAACTGGGAATTGGCGTGCTTGGTAGGTTCTTATAGCGGATGATGAAGACATAGTGTTCTCTGCTTTTAGGATAATCACATTTAACAAATGTTTACTAATCATGAAGTAAAGAGTGTTATCGAGGAAACATTTTGTCTGACTGGTTATTCTGTGATCAGGCTATTTTTATTGCATTTGCGAGAATTAACACAGTAACATTTTACACTGTTCCTTTCTGTAGTCAGTCAGTACTGCTCGCTACAAGTTTTGCATCAACATGCAATAAAAGTTAAAGAAAAAAAATTAAAATCTCCTAGCTGGGATTCTATTGACGTTTGAGATAAATTGAACATCTTAGGTTTCTTGGGTACGTAGTGACACTTTATTTCTAATTAATCATTTGCTTGCTACAGTTTGAACCTTCTTAAGTAATATATTTATCTCACAAATTGAACCATTAAGTTAAAAACTGAACTGCAACCCGATAAGCAGTAATATAAATTAGTTTCTGATCTGTGGTTTTACTTGTGATGTACAGAACAATGTTTGCATTAAGACTTGGATTATAAAAAGCTTCCTTCCTTACAAACATTGTTTTTAATACTCAATACATTCAAAAGTTCGTAACTGTTTCACGCAAGAGTTTATTCTCTTTATGTATGATCATAAAAGTGGCTATGTTGTGAGCTACAGAAATACCTCTGAGATCTAGAAAAGAGATAGTTTTTGCTACAAGAGTCATAGAATCACAGAAGACGGCTAGGCTGGAAGGGACGTTGGAGATCATTTTAATCCAGCCTACCTGTCACCAAGGAGGCAAGAATATATGTAAAATAGGTCAATACTTTAGTCTTGTTGGGCTTTTTCATGATTTTCTGTGGTTAGACAAGATCAGTTAGCATGTATATGAGGAAAACTAGATTATTTATCAACTAAACTATTCTTAGCAGTTGATGTGAAATTCTGATCTTCTAAACAGTCGCTACTTAAATGATAGAGAACTCCTTGTTAATATCCACTTCTCAAGTCCTATTCACTGAAATGAAATACATGGAATGGAGACTCTGTTAAGGACTTCTATTCCTCATTGTGCCAAACATTTCTTTTAACGAATTCAGTCTCCTTGGTGATGTGAAATCAACTTTTCTTTTCAAGCCAATACCATACACTCCACTTGGAAGTGGCCAAGGTATAGCCATGAATGATAATGACTGTGGGTAGAAATTTTTCCAGATATTAAAGTGGAGATTGACTCTCATTGTAGGGGCAGAATAATTGCATAAATAGTAAAGCAGAGGTATTGCTGCCTTTTGGTCTTGGGTTGCAGTTCTGTGAGATGCAGCAGATATTTGTCAAAAAGATGATGTTCAGTTTCCTGCTCTAGTGGGTTGGGCTTCTTTTTTTTTTTTTCCTAACTCTAGTGCTATCATGTGCCTCCTGACTCCCTGGTGTTTGTCATGTTCTTCTTTAGCTAAGCTAACTTACTAACTCACCAAAACAAACAACAGCAAATGGATAGGTTTCTGCTGGTTGTGTCAGTGAGGTTAAATCAGCTCATTAAGAGGATCAGATGAGGAAAGGTTGAAGTGAGACCTCCCCTTTTTAGCAAGTTAGCTAGTATTTTGTTAGCAACCAGTCATTTTTATAGTTGTATGTGAAACTACTTAGGTGAAACTGAATTAATCACTAATGTTGATAGGGAGTCTATTTTGCTGTTCTCATTAGTCATTCAATGACAGTCTGTTCTTTTTGTCTTCAGAAACCATATTGTACAAAAGCTACAGAAGAAAATTCTATAGCATGTTACCTAGCATAGTAATTCTGTGGATAATTTCAAAACAATTTTCAATCTGTACTGGAAACCCCCATCTTCCTTTTTAAGTCTTGTGGAGAGGAAGGAAATTGTTTTTTTGAGAAACTGAAATAGAGTTACATAATGTGTGCTAGGCTTGAGAAGCCTGAGGTGGAGAAAAATACTTCTGTAGCTGCTCTGAGTCGGTGAAAGTAGTTTTAGATTTCCTGCATGTTTACAATTATGTTGTTACTCTTAGATGCTACAAAAGTAGCTTCCTCTTGAGTGAATGCAGTATAACCTATGTTACCGTAAGGAAGACTTTGGAGCTCAGAACAGAAGTAATTGATTAATTACCTAGATAATGAAAGCAATATCAGGAGGAAGGTCTCTCTTGTAGTGCAGCATGTTTTGTTTAAAGGTATTAAGAAAAATCCTAAAACTTCTTCATAGGCTAATAAAAATAGATGTGCAAATAGACAAAGAAATTCACTGTAGACTTTTTTTTGGTAGAAATATTATCTGCAAGTAGAATTTTTACAACTTAAGCCGTGTTACCTGTTCAGTGTTGTGCATTTTGTTTGTTTGCAGTGGCTCTTCGTTATCCCAAAAAATACCTTTAGCTTCAGAGGCATGCATTTGCTTGGATATATTTGAACAAGCTTGTGGTAAGCTTTTGAGTGGGTGGCAGAAGAGGGCAGAATGAGAAGGGTTGCAATTAGGCTTCCATTAGAATGCTTTCAAGGTTTTCCCTTCTCTTCCTGTTAAAGCTGAGGTATTCTGAGAAATTTTTGAACTTCATTTCTTATTGGCAGTCACAGTTCACATTGTATTCTTAATCTGAGAGATTAAGTCATTCAAAAATTGTTCATTAAGTATTTTTAATGGATTAGACAGTGTGTTCGGTGTTTCAATGTTCTTTGTTTATTTTGTTTGACTATAGCATAATCTTCTTACTATGTGCATCTTCCTTTCCTTGTATTTGGTCTTGAAATCCCCTCTCTCATCTGCAATCCTTCAGCTAGACTACATATTGTTTTCGTCTGATGTCAGGAGTACAAACAACCACAAAAACCTGTGAAGTATTTGTTTTCTCTTGCCTGAAACTTTGTGAAACCCATGAAACATTGTTAGTGGGTAACTCTTTACACTTAATATATTGTGTGAGAGCATAAACATGATTAAGATTTGCTTTCACATTTGAAAATGTGGTATTTGGAATTAAGTATTTCTTCTTTAGGTGTAATTTCTGTGAAAATACTGATTGTTAGCTGGTAAGTCATCTGCTTGTGGACAAGAGGTACGTTCAGGATAGGGTCAGGATGCTAGGTTCACTGTGTTTTTGCAAAGCAAACTTTAGTTTGGCAGCTATTTAAAATACAGGTGTTTAAAAGCTTCATTAAGCTGTTTAGAGAAGCATACATTATAACTGCAGAGGATACTTATTGTATCAAAAGTTAATGAGAGTCTCAGTAGCTGGGTGTCTGGCATCATCTACCACAGGTAGAAGTCTAGCTCTCAATTTTAACTTCTGAAGGTCAATGGCAGTGCTTTTCAAGATAGTATTTTACAAGCTCGTGGTTTTTATGTTGCAAGGGCTTTTAGTATTTGTTTTGTGGAAATAAATTCACTGGTGTTGTGCTTTTCTAATATAAGAAGAAAACTGGATTTTTTCCATATTTGTTCTCAAACTCCTCTGTCTCATTAGATCTTTTGATAACTTTTTAAAGATGACTCAGCCATTGTAAAAATGTAGAGCTATAAAGGAAGAGTTACATATAGTACACTCTACATAACTTTTACTGACTTTTAAGATTTTTTTTGCATCCTTATGTACAGTCACCAGCACTTTTAACAGGCAATCTTCAGAGAATTATTTTGTCTTCTTAGCTTATCTGAGTAAGCATGATGAATCTAGGCTTTGAGGTTTAAAAATTACATGTTTCAAACTTCTCTGTAAAATAATACATTCAAGTGGATAAAGTGTTACAAATAGGCTTTTTAACTGTGGAGACAGTAACATAAGAATTGGCTAAAAAATCTGTTGACTCTTGAAGGTGATTTTCTTGCAAAAATAAGACTAATTAATAAATGGCTGCACATCTGTTTAGCTGTTTTTTAAAAAATTAATTTGAAAAGCTTCATAAGTTTTTTAAATTTATGTGCTTTTTTTTTTTCTCCCTCAGTCTCAGACTATGAACTACGTAGGACAACTTGCGGGACAAGTACTGGTTACTGTGAAGGAACTGTACAAAGGCATTAATCAGGCAACTCTTTCAGGATGCATTGATGTCATTGTGGTCCGGCAACAGGATGGTACATACCAGTGTTCTCCTTTTCATGTCCGATTTGGAAAGCTTGGTGTATTACGCTCTAAAGAAAAAGTGGTAAGTCCAAAAAATGAGCCAAAACAAAGTTTTGAATACTAATGCATTCTGGTTTTTCCCCTTTTCCTTCTTTTCCCAGCCTCCCATGTGTACCCAGTTAACAGGCTGATTTAGTACAGAGCAGCTTCTCATACATGCTATACAGAATGATAGTTTTGGAATGCAAAACAGAACTTTCTGTAGTAATTTAAGGACTCTGCAAAGAAATACTGTGAAAGAAAAGCTTTGACAGGTCTTGAGCTGTGTAAAAAGAATAATACAAACATACTGACTTCACAGTCTTAAAATGTTTATGTGGCTATTTATTTACTTATTTAAGTATGCTGGTAAATAAATGTTTAATGCAATTTAACTGATCCCTTATGTTGCAAGCAACTATTTTTGGAATGCTGGGAGGATAGGGTTGGTGACCTATCATAAATATTACTTCTTGTTAGCTCTGTTCAGGGGTGATATACAGTAAAAAATACAGTTCTTAATACCCAAAGGCAGATAAAAACTGAGACTGAAGCTTTATTCTTACATGGGTATATTTGAAAGAGAACTTGGGACAATTCCCTGTCCAGCCAAATTGTCCGGGTATCCCCTTTCATTGGCTTCAGTAATCGTGCCAGGGGAGTGAGTTGGCTTGAGTTGTAAATGTGACTGAAAAATGGACCTATTGTGGGGGATCTTTGCAGTACTGTCGGTAAGGGGTACTGGGGATGGCAGTATTGCCTGTGGGCGTACTGACAAAACATGGATTGATTTAAACAAATCATAAACTCTTATATTATTATAAACCTTATTATATGCTGCTTTTCTAAGAAGTGAAAGGACACTACAGGAAACTCCCCCATCTTCATATTTTGATTGTAAAAGAGTAAAGTGCAACTAAAAGAGCAATTATGTTAGGGCATTTTTTTGTTAACAGTCCATATTGTGAGTTAAATGCATTAAAGTTGTAAACTTACCTTAGTAACACAAGCTAACAGCAGTTTTCTTGTTTCATTTTTTTTTCCTCCTTACTAAAGTTTTCCTTGATGAGCACACTAATGAGAAAAAGTTGATTTTTCTTAACAATTCTGTGACAGATTACAGTTTTTCAGCAAGGTACAAGAGAGGTGGTATAGCTCTGCTTTTTCTAATGTCTAAGTAAGTGGGATACAGGTTAAACTGGAGTGATCTGAAACTTGAGCTTGCTAGGTGTCTTTAATGACACTTCTGAGAAGCTAAACCAAATTTGACAGGATTTCAGCTTCTGGCTACCTCTAAAAAGCTGTTGAATATTAGAAGCATCTACTCTTGATACCTGCTGCACTAGGGTGTTAGCATAGTTCTCAACCTTTGCTTGAGTATATGGCTGCTGCTTCTTGTTTCCTTCATCCTTGGAGTTGCCTTTCTACAACTGAGTGTTCTCTCAAAATCAATTCAATGTTTATTACTGTGTTTGCATATGCATTTTTCTCTGGGATGTTATGAGGCCAAGATGAATTGATAGTCTCAAGATGTAGGGAACACAAAATATGCCTAGCTGTGCTTCAACTTTGTGTGCTGAAGTCTCCAGAAACCAACGTGAGGTTTAGGTACTAAAATTAGGGATGTTTGTCTAAATAAGCATGAGGAAAAGGTTGAGGAAAGAAAAAAATACTAAAGTTTTGTGTTTGTTGTTGGTTGTGCGGTTTATTTTTTTTTGAAAATTATGTTGCTGAATTCGAAATTAAAGAAAAAATTTTAAGAATAAACTGTGTTCAGTCAGGCATGAGATTAATATGATTTCCAGATGAAACGCATTAAGTTCTTGCAGGGAAAAAGAAAAGATGTTGTCTTAAGGATTTGAGTATAGTGCCCATATATATTTGGTTATCTGTGTGTGATTTATCATCTCCTGTTACTGGATTACATTGTCTGATGGTTTTATTCTCATAAATGGGCAAATAATGGACTAGGATACATGGAAACTTGCCTTTCTTAGCACTTTGGTGGTGTCTTTTTTTTTTGTCTCGGCAGTCCGTATACTAATCTTGAAATTGGCTCTATTTTTAGCTTTTAATATCACAATAAATAACTATGTATATGAGTATTCATATCACAATACTAGCTGCATGGCTTAGGGGTGTAGTTTCTTGTTTTCTGTTGGCAGGAAACTAGACCTTGAGTAATACTGGACATCTTACAGTAATTTCAGTATTTAACTTGGTGTCCTTTTGGCAGAAGTGTCTAGACTATATATAAACCTGAAATGCTACTGGCTTTTTCTGCACTAAGGCAAATCCATTGTATTTCTATCTCACATGTATTAAATTGTTTATAATTAGCTAAGCCAAATGCAGATATACAGATACCATTAGATAAACAGGTTTACTGGGAAAAAAGAAAGAAGGTAATTTTATCTGAATATTGAACACATTTTGGAAAAATTTGGAATGGAACCTAACTGGATGTCCAAGGCTTCCTGTTTGTTGTATTGAACTTTTGGTATTTAGACACAGATTTGTACCAAGCCCTAATTCATGTTGAGCTTTAACTATAGGAATATGAACAGTCTCAATCATTCTTCCAGGAAATAAAAACAAGATTCAGTCTTCAGATGTTGAGCTTTTTTTGCTTTTTCCCCCCCACTTTTTCTTGTAGGCGTTAGGCTCTCTGCTAGTAGCATGATGGCATTTTGCAGGTTAACAAAATAAAGACCGTCATTATAACAGACTTCTTTCAAAAAGCAGAGGAAGGAGAAAGAGACAGGATTATACAATGGAACAAAGTGTAGTCTCAGAGCAAAGTGTGCCTTGAGGTCAGTGCTTTCCCCTGTGACAAATTTACTTACCTTAAATTGCTCTTTCCACAGATTGATATAGAAATTAATGGTGATGCTGTTGATCTGCATATGAAACTGGGTGACAATGGAGAAGCTTTCTTCGTACAAGAAACCGAGGAGGAAAATGTAAGGGTTTTATGCTTCATGATAGATACAATGCAATATTAACAGAAAAACGTGTTAAAAATGCTTAATATAGTGTTCTTGACGTTGTACCTTTTATGAAAGCTAGATTTTCTTGTGAATGAATCTTAACATCACTTTCGTATGCTGCCAAGGTGCTTAGTGCTTTATACAATTCTGCTACCAGTGATAATAAAGTAACAATTTTTTTATTAGAGCATTATTTGAAATAATTGTTGAAAATTTTTTACTTTTTAAGTATATTCATTCTTGTCATTGGCAGTTATACAGATTGCAGTGCCTTATAATAATTTTTACCTTAAGTTCTTACAGCTTGTGCTACTGACTTCTGTACCGATACAAGTTGTCTATTTTGGAATATTTTTAATTTGTCTTATAATTTTTAGGACAAGTTTTCACAATTTTATCTGTGAAACTTTTACCAGCTAGTGTTAACTTCTTCGACTTGAGAATTCTTCATGTATTATAATACAGTAATTAATTTCCCAAGCACCAGTTGCAGCTGGTGCCTCTGAAAAACAGGAATAATTGTTCATTTTTAGTCTGATTTCCTAAGGATATGGGACCTATCTAATCACAATATTTGTCAGTTCTGAGCTTTGGTTTTGGTCACTTTTGAATCTGCTGGCATTTTTCAGCAAGATAGAAGGAAAGAAGTTTTAAGTAAAAAGTTCCAAAAGGTTTAATGAAAATAAAGGAAAAAGGAAAAAAATACTGTCTCAGTGAAGTAAAAGATGAAGTGTTGATTTCCTGTTATTACAAATCAGAATCTGTCAAGGAAATGAGCTTGATCCACTTTATAGTTTAGAGTTCACTGTGAGGGATTGGAGGAAGGTCTGTCTGTGAGAGGAGTTAAATATAGTTTAAAGTGGAAGGAGAAAACAAGCATTAAGACCCTAAATATCTAGGGGTAGGGATTCATAACATTTGAGAGAGAGGAAGGTTGGTTCTGTTTTAGCATACACCATGTTTAAAATCAAACGTGAAAGCAGATTTTATAGATGTAGACTGTGTCAGCTATTGATTGGAACTGACTTTTCGAAAGCAAGGCTGCTAACCATTACCTTTGTCCCCAGTACAGTGTTTTGAAGGAGCTATTGCACTTAGTATATTTTCATGTATAACAAGAGCTTATCTGTGTACAGTGTGTTCTAGACAGCTGGTCGTTCATGCCAAAACTATGGACTGAGTTGGCTACAAAGCAGAGGACTGAGTTGTTTTAATCCTTTTAGACATTTTTTTTTTCCCTCAGTGTTTCTGCTGCTGATCAGCCTGTCCTTGTGGTCATCTTTTGAAGCTGTGCTTAGAGTATAAACAATAAAGCTCTCATCAAGTTCAGATCTCATCAGATTCAGAAAAGTTCTTTCAAGTGATCAGTCTTTGCTGTTTTCACATTTTGACATTCGGAAGTAGTACCACATGTCTTAGTTCACAGAAATTGGGACTATTATACTTTTAGGCATCATTTTTTCAGCCACTTTTATTTTAACTTTTTCTCTTTTTATCTTATATTTGTCTTGTTATTCTAGATTTTTTTATTACTGTTTATATAGAATATTAACTATTTTAGGTGCTTTCATTTTATTTGGAAGCTTTTTTCATGATGCAAAAATCTATGTGTTGTTACTGCTGTGTAAGGTGGTATTTTGTTCTCCTTTCTCCATCTCTCTCAGCATGGAGCAAAACTTGGTCTATTAAATAATAGCAGTTCAGGCTTTGAACACATCAAAAGTAGTATCAGTGCTCTGGCTGTTTCTGATCACAGTGTAGTTCCTGAATCTTCTGCATAAGAGTCCTATAAAATAACAGGCCTCTCATAACTGATTCTATTCTTACCATGAAATTGAGCTCCATAACTTTTTCTCTTTACTCTGCAAATTTCAGTATCTTCTACTTATGTTCCACTTTGTCCTTTCAACGGTGTGATTCTTTTAGTCTAGGTGTTAATATCCTTAAGGTTCCTTTTGTGATGCAAATAAACCCCAGGCAGTCCACTCATAAAGCTTTTCTTTCATTTGAATTATTGATGATTGCTTGTTTATCAGTTCTAACATGAGTAGATTATAGTTGAGTTTTCCTTTTTGAAAGATTCCTTACATAGTGTCTAACATGGATGACAAGACTGAATGAACCTTTGCCAATTCTGTGGGTAACACTAAACTGTGAGGAGAGGTAAGACAGGTCAGAAAAAGGGCCATCATATAGAGCCAACTTGGCAGGCTGGGAGCCTGGACCAATAGGATTCACACAAGGTTTAACTGAGATACGTGTGGAGTCTTGCCTCTGCATTGGAAGAATCCCCCTCAACGATACAGGTTGGGGTCTGGATGAAATTTTAATCACCTCGACATCAGTTGGAAAAACAATACGGCAGGGAACAAGCAATCCAGGAGATTCCTGGAATGCATCGATGACAACTTCCTTCTCCAAGTGATAGAGGAACCAACGAGTAGAGGTGCCGTGTTAGACCTCGTTCTCGTCAATAGGGAATGGCTGGCAGGTAATGCTACACCTGTGGGTAGCCTTGGCTGCAGTGACCATGAGATGCTGCAGTTTGAGATCCTAAGGGAAGCTAAGAGGGGGAAGCTCAGCAAGCTTGAAACCCTTGATTTCAGAAGAGCTGACTTTCACCTCTTCAGGAACCTCCTTGGTAGAGTACTGTGGGATAAAGTCCTGGAAGGACTGGGAGCCCAAGAAAGCTGGTTGACTTTCAAGGATCATCTCCTCCAAGCTCAAAGGCACTGCATCCCTAGAAGGAAGAAATCACGCAAAGAGACCAGGAGACCTATATGGATAAATAAAGAACTCCTGGCAAATATCAAGTACAAAAGGGTAACTCAGAAAGCGTGCAAGCAGGGACAGGTAACCTGAGATGATTACAGGGAAGTTGCTTGTGCAGTCAGAGACCAGGTTAGAAAAGCTAAGACCCTGAGAGAGTCAAGCCTGGCCAGTGACATTGGAAATAATAGAAAAGGATTTTACAGGTACGTAAGAGAGAAAAAAAAACGAGAGAGAATGTGAGACCTCTCTGGAAGGATACAGGCGACCTGGTTACTGAGGATGTGGAGAAGGCTGAAATATTCAACTTTTTTGCCTCAGTCTTTACTGGCGACCACTCGAACCACACCACCCAAATCATAGAGGGTGTTGGCGGCGTCTGGGAGAGTGAAGAACCACCCAGGGTAGAAGCAGATCAGGTCCAGGAACACCTAGAGAACCTGAAGGTTCACAAGTCCGTGGGACCTGATGAGATGCATACGCGGGTCCCAAAGGAACTGGCGGCTGAAGTTGCTGGGCCACTGGCCATCGTATTTGAGAGGTCCTGGCAGTCTGGTGATGTTCCCACAGATTGGAAAAGGGGGAGCATAACCCCCATCTTTAAAAAAGGAACCAAAGACCACTCGGGGAACTACAGACCAGTCAGCCTTACCTCTGTGCCAGGTAAAATTATGGAACAGATTCTACTGGCAGCTGTAATAAGTCACAGAAAAAATAATCAAGTGGCCGGTGACAGCCAACATGGCTTCTCTAGGGGCAA